ATCAGTTTTGTTGATCATGTTTGCAATAATTGGGAGGCCTCCCAATTTTCGAATTGTCTCTTGGTTGCATGAATAATTGGCATTGTTGCTCAGGGTGAGCAAAGCTACCTGTTGGATGAAAGGATCATCCGATTTCTGAAGCAAGGCAAGGACTTTCCTGAGATCTCGGACACCCAGAATCTCATCAATTTCATAAGGAAAGGGGCACCTCTGCATTGAAACAGGTCTTTTCCCCCTGCCTCTGCGCTGGGTCTCAGGCTCAGAGTCTGAATCCGACTCTGTGTCAGTCCACCCGGACTCCCCTTCCTCAGAGACAGGGACCTCCACCAGGAAAGCTTGTCCCCCATTAGCAGAGGCTGCAGCAGCTGCTGCAGCCCCATCTCCAGGTCGGAAGCCCATTCCCAATTCATCTACTTCAACCTTGATTTTCTTGCCCTTGCCCTTGCCCCCATTTCGGGACCTGGTTCCACCCTTGGCTCCACCTTTGGGTACAGCTCCAGTCGCTGACCCGGCCTTAGGTATAGCCCCAGTGTGAGCCCCAGGGGTTGCTTTCTTGGCAGCAGCAGTTCCAGGAACTGCCGCTGTTCTAGAGGACCCTGAAGTCCCAGGAACCTCTGCAGCCCCAGTAGGTGCTGCTGTCCCAGTAGGCATTGTGGGCACAGGAGCTTCAGCTGCTTCGGGAGGCACTGCCACTCCCGGAGCCTCTGCCACCTCGGTAGGCGCTGCTACCCTGGTAGGTGCTGCCACCCTGGTAGGCGCTGCCGCCCTGGTAGGTGCTGCCACCCTGGTAGGTGCTGCCACCCTGGTAGGCGCTGCCGCCCTGGTAGGTGCTGCCACCCTGGTAGGTGCTGCCACCCTGGTAGGCGCTGCCACCTTGGGAGCCTCAGTTGCCTCAATGGGTGCTGCCACCTCAGTAGGGGCTACTGTCCCAAGAGGTGCCACTGTCCTGGGAGGTGCCGCTGCCCTGGGAGCCTCCCCTGTGCTGGGGGCTTCTGCCATTTTGGGAGTCCCTGTCATTACAGGGGCCTCTGCAGCTGCGGGAGCCTCTGCCACCCCGGGAGGTGGTGCTATTGCAGAAGCCACTGCAGCCCCAACTACTGATTCGGTCTTAGGCCCAACCCTGGCCCCATCTGCCTCTGGGGCCTGACTTCCTGCCCCACTCTGAACCTCAATGCTGGATGCAGCTGGGGCCACTGCCTCAGCTCCAGCCGCCTCCAGAGCAGAGGCTTCATCCTGGGCTCTGTCCTCTGTCCCAGCGCTGACTGGGGTTGGGGGACTGAATCCTGGCCCAAGGTCAATTGTGAATCTGGCCCTTAGCCCAGCTCTAGCCCTGGCTCCAGTCCCAGCCACAGCCCGGTTCTTGGGCTTGACCATTCTCTTTTTCGTCTGGTTGCTTCCCCTGGTGTATTTGTAGACACAGTACCAGGCACCAGCTCTGATCACTATCCCTGCCGCTACACAGCCGGCATCCCGAACACGGCTCATGGCGCAGCTGGGGTGATTTTCCGATCCAGGGTGCAGAACTGGCTTGCCCAAGTGGATGTGTTCACGTCTGGACAAGGCTCTTCAGCTCGGGCTTGCAAATTCTGCGAGAGGCTGCAAGCTGAGCAGGACCAACTTGCTGGGATCAGGAGCCGTTTGCTCTTTTCCTGTGGTTGTATAGAGCCCCAAAGGCAGACAGACCTCTAAGTATTCAGAGCTGTTTCTCCTTCCTTCAGTTCAGTTAGAACTTCTTCCTAAGGACAGACTGAAGGGCAGAAATATAGACTGCAGACGTTGGAGACAGAGGGCCCAAACTCTTTTTCCAGGACTGAAAAGACGTGAGTGAACGGTTGTGAGGCCCGGAGGTGTCTCCCCGCTGGCCTTATATGCTCTGCCACGTTTATTTCTCTTCCCTCCTCCTCTCCAAACAGGATGGGATGTGGGGTGCAGGGCCTGCCCGGATCTGGGGGAATTTTCTCCTCCTCCTCCTCCTCCTCCTCCTCCTCGCCTAGGTTAAACGCACGGCAGTGCGCAGCGCAATAGAGTTGGTACCCAGAGGAGGAGCCCCCTTAGCCTTCTAATAGCTTTATATGCCACGATACTAATAAAACTTTAGGTGGTAATTTGAGACAATCAATTTGATACATGATACAACAGGGAAAGGCAAAATATATCATAGCATTGTATGATAATAATAATAAAGGATGTATATAAAACCATGTATCCATCAGGTGATACTTCTTTCATTTTAGTATTAACACATTAACTACCACATGAGTTGTATTTAACTCACGCTAGTTTTGAGCCCAAGGCCTCATGAAGTGTATGTAACTCACAGGCCTCTTTACCTTGGGAGCTGCATGAACTATTTTTCAAGTTACATATAACTCATGCACAGAAAACAATAAAAAGTAACAAATTTTTCATTAAATTAGAAAGGATTGTTTTGTTTTCAAAGTTTTTATTCTATTTTTGTAACAAAACACTGTGGCCTCAAGGAAAAATTTTTTTCTAGTGTGGCAGTCAATGTGTTGAAAAATCTTGCTTTATTATAGGTGAGGGAGTAGAGACCAATAGTTGATGCCACTATTTCTTTCTTGTCCACTGACCTCTTAATAAATAGACCTCATTTTTTAAAGCCTGGGTGTTTGAATGTTTAATCTGATCAGCTCATGAGGGGTGATTAAGAAAGACCGAAAAAAAAAAAAAGACTCCCTCTTGCTTTTATTGAAAGGCAGGAATTGATAGTAGGAGAATGTACTTTGTTTTATATAAAACAAAAACTGTTTTAAATTAAAAAAATATGTTCTCTTTAATTTTAACTAATGCCATTTGCTTCTGTAACCGTGCTTGCTTTTAATTGTTAGTCAAATATAGTTAATCAAAAAAAACAGGGCAGGAGTAACTCCATGACAGGCTGAACTTCCTAGAGTAGGCCTAAGTCTCAGTCCGCCTCCCCAAACGCAGATCAGAACTGGCGCCGGCGCAAAAATTAAAAATCCTGAGGCTTGGGACCACCCAATCAGGGGTCAAAACAATCCTCCACTTTTAAAGGAACCAATGGACAAAGGGAAAAAGGGGATGGTGGGCTCAGCGTATCGTATGCCACTGGCATGTCATGCGCAACCAAAAGTATAAAAGCTTCACTTTTACCCCGGGGCGGGGTCCTGGTTCCTAGGGAGGCCACTGCGTTGGTGCTCTGGGACTTGGACCCTAGCTCGAGCTAGCAAATAAACTCCTTTGCCATTTGCATCCTCGGTGACTCTGCTTCTCTGTTCCTGGGGCCGAGGGGGACCGATTCTTATATTATACCTACAGCTTAACTCAGAGGTCATCTTGAACTACATAAAACAGATAAAAGTTGAAGGGGCACCCCTTTTCAAATGGCCTTCTCTGCAGATTCCAATCCTACACAATGTGGTCCTCCTAATGTACCTACCAGGAACTTCAGGGTTCTATAGGACAAAGTTTGAAAAGCACTGATTTAAACAGTGGAGAAGAACAATCTGAGCTAGCTCAAATATCCATGCCAATGGGAAAATTTTTAATTTTGTCAGTGCCTGTGGTGGAATGAACTCTGAATTATAAAAAAACATGATTTATATTCAGCATAAGCACTTATTTACCAGGTGACCCTGGGAAGACATTTAATTTCTCTGATCTTGTTTTTATTCTTCCATAATATGTGAATATACCTTCTTTATCTCAAAGACTGATTCTGAAAGTTAACAGGACATAGTAAAAGTGGAAGAAGCACAGAAACTCTCCACTGTTATTGTAAGGCATTATTATTGATGAGGAGGGAATCTATTTGGAGAAGGGAACAAAGGTATACATAATAGGTATCAGGTAGTAAAAATTGTCACTAACCTACAAGGAACTAAGATTTCTTCCAGGAAAAAAAATTAGACATGTAGTCTCTGTAAATCACTTTTTTCTTCTGCTGTGGAATAAGATCCCATAATCACACACTTTCTTTGACCTCTGTCTCACTGCCAAGAATCACACCATTTTTAATGAATGTCAAAAAGTATTCTGCGTCAAACTAGTGTTATTTCTCCATTTGAATTTTTCTAATGAGAATGAATGGACAGTTTAAAAAAATGATGTTTAAAACATATGAAACACAGCCCACGGACAAGTTTTCAAAATTACACAAAAGCGATTATCTTTAGGATCGGCATATTTAGATTCTGGCTTCTGCTAGCACTACCCTTACTATTTTCAGTAGATATTTTAAATTCATCGCCAAGGAAAAGATCTTATCAGTAGAATATATACATCTTTTAAGTTGTTTTTCAACAGTGGTGAAAAAAACCTCACCAATAGATCCGCCTACACATTCCTTTTACCCACAGGACAATAAACTCTTTAGCCTGGCCTTTAAAATCTTCCCTAATCAGAAACTACCCGTTATAGACTAAATGTTTGTGTTCCCTCCAAATTCATATGGTAAAGCCCTAACCCAAGTGTGGTGCCATTTGTAGATGGGTCCTCTAAGGAAGTTTTTATTATTATTTATTTATTTTATTTTTTAAGGAGGTAATTAAGGTTAAAGGAGGTCATAACGGTGAGCCCCTTGATTTGACAGGATTAATTTACTTATAAGAAGAGACACCATAAAGCTCTCTCTCCAAGTGCATGCACTGAGGAAAGGCCACGTGAGCACAAAGTGAGAAGATGGCAGTCTGCAACCTAGGGGGAGAGCCCTCATCAGACATCAACCTTGCTGGCACCTTTATTTTGGACTTTTAGTCCCCAGAACTGTGAGAAAATAAATTTCTCTTATTTAAACCACCCAGTTTTGGCATTTTGTTATAGAAGCCTAAGCATATTAACACACTATCTCTATTACTAAATGCTCCCTACTTCTTCCCATTACAGGAAATGTACTTTGTTGAATATATGAGAAATATTTCATTGAACATACACAGAAATCAGATTCTTAAAAAGTGCTTTGTATGAAGCACTATTTGCAATCATTTGCAGTCAAGCTGCCTTGTAAAAATTATGCTTACCCTTGAAGAGTAACATACTCTTGGGAGCTTTCAGCCCAACAGCCACTCAGCATTGCAGCAAAATAACTAGATCTGGCACTTAAAATGGCCCTAAAGGGGAGAGGAGGGAAAAACACAGGTAAACATTTATGCATTATGCAAAATGCAATTTTTAATGAAACTCTTCATCTTTACCTCATAAAACATGATAATCTATCTGTCTTATTTGTATTCACTGGTGGGATTATTATAATAAAAATTATAAGCCTGTATTTATACCTAAGTATTTTGAATATTTGGTTAAAACATTAATTTCAATGCCTTTGCTACCTTTTTAATTTTTTTTCTCTTGAAGCCTCTTTAATTTTAAAACAATTGAAACTATTCCCACAACTAAGAGAGTAATAAAAATCACTTATGAATGAAGTGATAAAGACCAAAGATGTTACTTAACATCTTGAGGAAATATCAATAAGAAAGAGACTACAATTATTATTTGTCGATTTAAAATTTTTAAATGTTTATGTTGGGTGCAGTGGCTCATGCCTATAATCCTAGCACTTGGGGAGGCTGAGGTGGGAGGATTGCTTGAGGCCAGGAGTTGGAGACCAGCCTGAGCAAGAGGAAGATCCCATCTCTACAAAAAATAGAAAAAATTAGCCGGGTGTCGTGGCCTGTGCCTATAGTCACCGCTATGGGAGGCTAAGGTAGTAAGATCACTTGAGCCCAGGAGTTCAAAGTTGCAGTGAGCTATGAAGATGCCACTGCACTCTACCCTGGGCAACAGAGCCTCTTTCTTTTTGAGACTATAATTCTAAAGGTCCCAACTTCTAGCTCAAAACTCACCCTAACTTATGCTCAAGAAAGGTTATATTTTAGGTTTGAAAAAACAAAAGAAAAAATATTTTCTTTTGAATTTCTATTCTGTCTTCTCAAATGAAATGTTAATTAATTCATTCTTTAATCCAACAAATATCCCTTGACTTCTATTATATGCTAGGCACTTATCTGGGTGCTGGGAATATAGCAGTAAATGAGATACACAGAACAAACAATTCCAGTGGAGGATGCAATGTAAGAACAGAGGAAGACAGGGAAAAGAGAAAGACATTTCTGGCAATGGCTTAATTAGGCTGGCTAAGACCAACATGCCTGCTGAAAGGAGCTAGGAAAGATGGGCAAAATACATATATTGAAAAAAGAAAAAGAAAAAAAAAATCATGCTTTGAAGGCATCAGAACACTACCATGGTGGGTAGATAAGTTAGACTTCCCCAGTGAATTCTAATAAACATTTAGAAAGATATAAGTAAGGTAAAATCAATCAATCTTATCCAAACTAAAGAATAAAAAAGAGGAAGTACTTTGCAATTCATTTTATAAAGTCAACATAACCTTGAGGCCTAAACCTGACAAGAGCATAACAAAAAAGGAAAATTACAGGGCAATCTCTTTCATGAATATAGATGCAAAAATATTAGCAAAATATTAAAAATATAAACAAAATATTAGCAAACTGAATCCAGCAATAAACAGAATGAATAAAACATTACAACCAAATCAAAAATATTCCAGGAATGCAAGATTATTTTTCCATTTCAAAGACAAGCAATATAATTTAGCACATTTACAAAATAAAAAAGAAATATTATAAGATCATCAAAAGAGATCAGAAAAGCATTTGACAAAATTCAACACCAATTTATGATTTTAAAAATTTAGGCAATTTCAATCAAAATCTCAGAAAGCTATTTTGTAAATATTGGCAAAATGATTCTAAAATTTACAGTCATGCAACTTATAACAATGTTTCAGTCAACAAAGGACCTCATAAATGAGGGTGATCCCATAAGATTATAACGGAGCTGAAAAATTTCTATTGCCTAGTGACATCAGAGCTGATGTAAGGTTGTAGTGGAAAGAAGCATTACTCACGTGTTTGTGGGAATGCTGATGTAAAAAAAAACTACTGCACTGCCACTCATATAAAAGTATAGCACATATAATTAT